ATGACCTCAGTCGCCCCCAAAGCGAAAGGCACTACAACAAAGCCCATCTGCCTAAGCGGCGCGTTTTGGAAGACTGCAGGGCCGCTGACATCAAGTGCACTGCAAAAGAAGACTTGAGGGACTTCAGCAGCTGGCGCAGCGCGGTGCCTTGCCCAGCAGTGGCGCCAGCAGCGACACTCAAGTGCAGGAAGGCATCAAAGGATGTGAAAAGTTGCAGTCTGGCTCTAAAAACCGCGACAGTGGACATTATGGACAGAGAAAGTGAGGAGCATATGTGTGACCTTTATGACGCAGTTCTCACAACGCCGAACGCCATGTGCGCGGCATAACTTCCTGTGACATGAACCCCTCCCCTGGTCCTTCCATCTCTTACTCTCTTTCTTCCCCCCTCTCTCCCTCCCTCCTCTCTCCCAATGGCGGCGTTTCAAAACGCTTTATTCGGATTGCGTGGAGCATCTCCGGCCCGGCGGTGCAGCGCACGCCAGGGTCGTCGCTTGTGAAGCATGCAAGGCATGAAATTGCGACGCTCTGTCAATTTCACAGCTGGCGTGCGAGCGGTTCAGGAGAGTCAACAATCAACCAGACCCGCAGCGGCGCAGAGCAGTGCAGTGCACGGCACTCGGGCGGGCCGGCTTCGATGACATATGTCACGTCAAGACGATTTGTCTTTTGTAATTCTGCGTCTCCGTGCTCAACGCGTGAAGCTGTGAGTTACATGTTTGTTCTCGGTTTGTCCTGCTTATGAGGACACTATATTGTGTTACATAGCCGTAGTTACTTGTTCCCAAAGTTCATCCATACACATTCGTGCTGGGGCGGCAGGCGGCAGCAAAGACAGTACTTGCTTAGTTAAAATATACTCGTTTTTATTATTCGAAAAACGTGTGCTTTTGATTATTTTTTTAAACGTAAAATTATGGATATTTTGGAGCTGGCTCGAGCGTAATTGTTGCGTCGCTGACAAAAAAAGAGAGGGAAACCCGTAGGGAGGAAAACTGGTATATAATGGCAAAAGCCATTCGGAACCATTCCGTGCGCGGCCAGGCGTGTCGCAAAGGTAGCCTGAGGACAAGGACGCGTCAGAAATACTCACACACTACCAAGGCACGTTAAAAATTAAAATGTCCCACAGCGTGTCCTTTCAAAAGACACCGACATTTTCTGACGTGCTTTCGGTCGGTTCAAACTAAAACTAAAGTTATAATGATAGATTTACCATGTGACTTGGCGTCTTATACTGAAGTAGCCCCTACCCCCTCCCCATATACACACATACACAAAATGTCAATACCAGACCACTCTTGAACAATCATTTTTAAAGCAACTTTGGCGAAAACGAAAGGCTATATGGCCTGCTGGAACGAAACTGCTCACTTTTACGTGAGCGGGAGAGAAAGAGAGTGAGACTATCGACACTTCGTTATGGGGCCTTGAATTTGCATGGAGGCGCGTGGGTGGCGGCCGCAAACTCGCTCTCATTTTGTTTCGGGGGGCTGGAGCAGCAGAAGTAGCAGCAGTGCCGGCCGAATGTGAGCAGCTCACGCGAAGCAACACGAACTGCGAATCAGCCGCAGCCGCGGGCCGCCGAAGAGGGACGTGTACACACCGCTGTGGCGCGGCGTGAATTTCGTTGACACCTTTTCTTCCTCTCTCTCTCACTCTCACGCTGTACTTCCCCTTTCCCTTCATCCATATCGCCTGGGGACATCCGAGGACCGCGTCACGACGAAGGTCAGGAGGCATGTGAAACAAGGGCTCGGCTCGGCTCGGCTCGGCTCGGCCCACGCGGCAAGAGCACACGATGAGCTGGGGACGCCGGGGGGACCCGCGCAGGGCGCTGCAGGGCGGCGCAGGGCCCCGCCGGTGTGCACCGAGACCACTTTCACTATCACCGCCAGCTCTGCTGCCAGCAGCCGAGAGTCCCATGCGGTCCCAATCGGAGAGCCGATAGCCATTGAAATCGAAACTAGGAGAGGGTCCCAAGCCTCGACGGCGGGTACAATGGCAAAACACAGGCGTCTCTGTAATGAGCGACTGAGATTCACAGGAGTGTTCTTTACTGAGAAGGAAACAGAGGTATAATTTATGTCGCGCGGGGAAAAACAGTTTTTACAAGATAACAAAACAGTTGAGAACGAGGTTTCTTGAATATTGCTGAAATCAGCTTGGAGCAAAGTGAGCCCGCCGTAAAATGAAGGATGTTGGGCGGTGATGACGGTCGAGAAGTAGATCACAAGGCGAGGCCCCCTCGTCGGCAAGGGCCAATAAAGGACACATGATGCACGGTCCAAGTGGGTCGCCCGGACGCGCCGGCCGCGGGTGGGGCTCAAGGTGGCGCGAGCAGATTGTGCCGCGAGAGGGGCGGCAAATTGGACCCACTGGGCCGGCAATTCGACCAGCCGAGCCAAGGAATCGCATCTCCCGGGCCAAGCAGGGCCAGCAGACCCCACCTATACTCGGTCGGAAGCGGGGCGCCAAGAAAGGCGCTGTTTTAATGAGGGGCCGATCGAGCTACTGACTGAAGGAGGATCAAAAGTGCACTGAGAAAAAAAGAACTAACTTTGCAAAAGATTGCGGCGGGCACCTGCGCGTCAGCGTCTCAGCGCGTGTTACTACTGACACTGTTTAGGAACAAAGGGTAAAACCTGAAACACCCTTAGTTTTTGTTGAAATCTGATGTAAAATTGTCGGAAGTGCACCTCAATGGGGCGCAGCTTACGACGACGGGCGGAACAATAAATCCCCCCCGGCCGGGGAGCCCACTCTCTGCTGAAAAGCGCGTCTTCCTATGCAGACAGCCGGGCGGCGGGGCGGCGGCAGCGCTCGCAGGTGCCCACCATACAGGTGGTGCACGTGCGGGTGGGGACGGGGTGGGGAGGGAGCGGAGGAATCAAACAAATCATCGTCGCTCTTACGAAAAAGGCGTTGCGTGTCTAACGGTGAAGGGGAGGCGAATGGCGTGGCGGGGCGTAGTGTTCGTGCGCCGGCCATTACGGTCCTTGTAGATTTTTTTTGTGAAGGGAGGAGGGGGGAGGGGCAGAGGCGGGAGGAGGGTGAAGGGCGTCATCAATTTTGGTCTGCTTTTTAAACAGGGCTTTCCAGACATTAGTCATAATTCCAGTGGCAGTCATGCGACCGTTTTGAGAAAATGAGAAGGAAACCTTGCGAATATGGCGGAGTCACATTTGCCGTCTCACGTTTTCGTCCCCCCGACCCGTCCGGTGCGGTGGCCCAGCGAGTGTCCAGTCCCGACCGGTGTCGCCAATGGCCC